CTGGTTTTTAACTTTCAGTACTCCCCTAGTTTTAAAGTCAAGCACTATAACTTTAGGGAAGTGATCATTTTTGTTTATATTTATTTATTGAATTATTGAATGTATAGGCCACTCCATTCCAGATGACTCTTTTACAAAATTAAAACAACAATAAATACAAAATGACACCAGCAATAGAAAGAGCATCTATTTACCATCCATTAAATGAATCTGGGCAGGCTACATACAATTTAAATAGGCCAGAATGAGAATTGAAATGTTGGCTAAGAACACAACTCTCTCTATATTGTAGATAAACAAAATGTTACTATTCTACAAATTCAAAATGCTTATCAATTATTTGGATATAAACAAGTTTTAATGTTTATACCAATTTAATTACATTTTTGTTTAACAATGTAAAATGTTATTATTTTGCTTTAGAGTTCTGGTATAATTCCAAAGTTTTTTCTAGTGACTAATGAGTAGTTTCCTATTAGTTTTCTTCCAGATGTATATTGGCTTCCACTGGAAAACAGGATTTAATTGTAATAAGGTATAAAACTACTCAAATATGATGTATTTCCCACTTTTCATATTAATTCAATGTCTTAACAATGGAGCAGAAAAATTAATTTAAAAAGGGAAGTTTTAAAACACAAATAAAAATTAATTATACATAGGGACAAATAAATGCCATTCTCCCAATGTAAATAAAGCCCAGCCCAATATATGCAAAATATTTATGGATATCATGGCATGAAAAAAATATATCTAAATAGAAAAAAAAATGGATGCATAAAAATCCATCCAGGCAATTTCTTCATGAGGGAACTTTTGATATGGATAACATTCCATATTTTAACGTTTTTTGGAGCTTAGGAAAGTTAATGAAGGCATGCGTGGACAATATTATTTGTGAGAAAGAGAAGCATACAAAACCTCCAAAGATCTCAAATAAGGAATCTGCAGAAAAATAAGGCAAAATTAAAGAAACAGGTGGTTGAAACAAAGAAAGAATGCCATTTGATTCCAACAGGACCACCTCCAGTGCCTAGGGATACATATGTATCCTCAGTTATCCACTGATAACGATGATCCAATACAATCTTGTACTCCAGAGGATATTTTAAGTGCTACTGCCTGGCCATCTCCACTGGCCAATGGAACAGGAGTTGTGGCTGGAATCCCCCATCCAACATCACCCTCTGCAGTACCACCAGCTTCACCCAATGTCAGTCACCCCAATGCCATTTTCACATGCATTGTGTGTGTGTGTGTGTGTACACACACATATATACACAGTATATGTATGTACATATGTATGCATATGATAACAAATTGTCAAATTTTGGGAGCTGTTAGTCAGGCTTGACACCTCCATGCAGCATGGACACCTTGTGACTTATGCAATATAATTTTGCAATTCCCTAAACTAAATCAGGATCTATAAAAATGTAAAAGGGACTTGCAAACTGTGTTTGATTATGATCCAGCATATGTGGATGTTTATCAGTTTCTTAATGCTATTTTAACTATAAATCAGATGGCTCACTTTAAACATATCAGTCACTGGGTGGGATCACATCTGTATTACAACAAGTGGTCCAGACCTGCCCTGAATGTCTATAACACAATATTAGGAAGCCTTTATAGCCTCCCCCTTGTTCCTCCCCTTGACAGAAGAACTCCTTAGCATTCAAATAGACTCTGCTGAAAAGTCACCTCTCCAAGATTATAAATATGTCCCTGCTATTGTTTGCATGTTTAGCAGGTTGTCTAAGGCTTATTTTTACAAGAGAGCTAATGCTGTTACTGTAGTCAAGAAGCTGGTCTAAAAGAATTGGTCCCTCAGTTCAGTGTACCTTCTTGCAAAGCCAGACAGATGCCCACATTTTGTTAAGGCCATTATTACCACATTAGTAAAGGCATTTAAAATTAATTTGTAGCTTCATCCAGAGAGTTCTGGCTTAATGAACAACTTAATGGAATACTGCAAAACAAAAATTCTAAGATTTATAGTCAGTCCCATCCAAAGCAGCCTGATGTTCTTCCCCTTGTTCAGCTATGTGCAGCCATTCTAACAGGACCAATGGATTGATGCTGCATGAAGTTCTTATGGCCCCCTTATGTGAACCTATGTTTCATCATCAACAATCAAGCAGTTAGCTTGGACTGATGATGAACTTCCCTCTTATACTCTGCAGTTAAATGGGGTATTGAAGTCTGTAAGCACCACCATCCTGTCTGGTGCCAAACCACCCCAATACAGGCATCTGTTCCTGTGGAACAGATCCAAGGGTAGTTGCTGATTAAACTTTTCTCTTTGTTGGGCTCTTCTACTCATTGAATGAGCAATCATTATTCCACAACCATGAGAATGTTTATGTAGTACCTAAATCCTTTGATGTAGTACCTAAAACAAGAATGAATATAGTATTTAATTATAGACTACCTAGAAGAAGATAATCTAGCCTGTTCCTATGCCTTTAACAATAGCTAGATTTTTAGAAATCATAAATTAAATAAACTCTTTGTTGAATTTGTGCTAAATTGTGTGTTGTGCTGTTGGAATAAAATGCTTGCTTATCAGAAATTTGATTCAGGCTTCTGCAGTGTGGCCAGGCCGGTGGCCGACACACGAACCAGAAACCTAGGATGAGGGAAGGTACCATATAATAAAAGCACCTAAAAGCACGATAAGGCG